GCCAATTCATACACCAACTCATATAATTTGTGCATGTGAAAACTATATTATTTTTTTGTGCAAGTAAAACTCTTATCATTTTCTTTCTGTTGCATGTAATAGTAGTTAAAAAGTAGTCTATCATTTTTAGTATTCTCGTTAGTTTTCAATCCTGATTTTTGTTTTTACATTGTATGGAAATAAAGTGATATGGTTTTTACATGCACCAAAAAGAAAACGTCAAAGTTGAAAAAGAACGAGAATGCTAAATGTGAAAATATTTTGATGACCTAAAAAAAAGTAAAACGTTAGTGTTCTGTAATTTTTAATTTTTTTTATTATTAAAAATATTTTGATGATAATTCAGTGACAACTGACTTGTTAACGTATGTTTTAGCTGAATTATACGAATTAATGTATGAATTGACAAATGTAACATAGTTCATATATATTTTTTAACTATGACGAGTAGTCGGTGTATCAATAAGTCTTTTCTCGTTCATAATACGGCTTAATATTTTGTTTTTCTTCTCTTGTCTTTTGGCGAGGATAAAAAATTAGAGAACTCTAGCTTTTGTGTTTATTTGACTATTTCTTTACTTTCCAGTTTCCATTCTATCTCTCTTCGTTCATATTATTATTTCAATTACTTATAAACTTTTCACAAAAAATTTCATATATTTTTCAGCATTTTCACAAATGTTTAAAAAGAATAATAAACAAATAAAATAAACAAATCACTACAACGCCGCTTAAAAAGCCATCTACAGCCTAGCTAGCCTGCCCCACATTTCATTTTCTATTATAAGATTCGCAATTAATCTGCTTATCGTTATCATTACTTAATCAAAATTCAATTTTGGATTTTGTAAGTTTCAAAAGAATCATCCTCCCAATATTGTCTTTCTTTGAGAGCTTGTAGTTTATTTATTTTTTCCTCAGCTTGTGCTTAATATTGGAATATTGGGGTTTGTTAATTAGTTGTCACTAGTCATAATAATTTGTGAAACAAAGGAATTTTGAAGAGGTCTTAAATGGTGGTTAATCAAATCCCTTATTGTCAAAATTTTGAAGAGGTCTAAAAGTAGTTAACTACTTTGTCATCGTATTTTTTTTTAAGATTTTTGTTAGTTTGAAAAGTATTTTGTTAGCAATGTTAATAAATGCAGCATTTGCCATTAATATTCGAAAATATTGTATCTCATATTTTATCTTTTGATGTAAATACGGCTTAAGATGCCTACGTTATTCTACACCCATCATTGATGACATCACTGCCATGACGTCATAGAGTCGGGAGCTCAACTCTGAGAACATGATTATAAGTAGTAAATATGATTGGGGTAATATATGAATTTCATAATATTAATTGTATTAGGATTGATGAATATAGAGAAAAACAAGGAGAGATAGAGAGAGATGTTATATTTACACACTAAATATGGGTAATATAGATTCTATATTTAGAAACCAAAAATGGTTTGGGTAAATATAAGAATTTTATAATATTAAAAATCTCTTATATTTATTTTTATTTACCACCTATAAGAACAATTCTTGAGTTCACCCCTAGA